GGCCCAATAGTGCCCCAGGTTGGGCCCTGCCCCCTTGCAGGAGAACTGCTGGAGCCAATTCAGCCAAGTTGACACAATGTATCAACTATCACAACAATATTGGTTTATTTTGCTGAATTCATACACCTACAATATTTAAATGGCAATTAAATACCCATCTCTGACAAAACTAAATGAAAAAAGGGAATCTGGGGGTCCTCAGAACCTTCATAAATGAAGGACCATTTTGTATCTGTATATACAAAATAGGATAGATTTATACCTACTTTCTCTTAATTCAATAAGCAAGATTTGTACTAACACTGTTTGGACAGGATATCATGTCTGCATCTTGTACTATGAATAACTACTACAAAGACAACAATATGGAATGTATTAATTATTGTAACTGTCCTACTAACCTGTTTTGAAACTGTCCCATTGCTATTTGTTTCTCAATAAAATTAATAAAAAAGTAAGGATATGTCACTCATTTCATTTTCCCTGGAAACACAGAATGAACAGAACTGGTTTTGTCAGAGCAGACTCATAAATGAGGAACTTGCCCTCAGACAAGCAGTATACTATTACTAAATTAAATTACACAGACCATATAGTATAAGCCACAATAAATTCAGCTGTAATGGCAGAGTTAAAAACAAGCTGGGGAGTAAACATTGTGGTGCACTGCTAACTGGTAGTCAACTTGTTACACTTCACTAGTGTGATGCTGGGTGTGGCAGGCCCACCTGAGGATTGTTGCCAGCACCATAAGAGGCAGAACTGGAGAAGCTGTTAAGAGGCTATTAGGGAAGCTGTTTGGAGAAGCAGTTGGAGGCTGCTGGTTCTCTTGGGTTATTCTGCTAGGTGATATCATGCTGGCTTCCTGGTGAACTTGTCTGTTCTTATTGGAGGAGGAGCTCAGGTCCTCATTGTCACTGGGAATGGCTATAGTTGACTTTGCAGGAGCTCTGGTCCCCACCTTGAGCATTGCTTCCCAGCTCCAGAGGGGAAGACGGCACATAACTCAGCCTCCTGGAGAAGCTTATCACATTGGCTCTCTTAATAGGAATGCAGCTCTCCTTGTCCTCAGAGGAGCTCGGGAACTCACTGTTGTTGAGGATGGCTGTGGTACTTTTCCGTGGGCTCTAGTTCTTACCTTGAGTGTTGCTTCCTGGCTCCAGTTCAAATTCCTCAGTCTGGCAGCACAGACCATTCACCCCACTAGCAAAGACTTCCGAGCTCCCATTGGTGACTTTTGGGCTTTCACTGTGCAGATTCATGATGCTGGACCGCATGAAACAGTGTCTTAGGCTCCAGGCCTCCAGTTAGGCTTTTTAGAGGCATTGTCATGACCTTTAGATTTTC